ATTGTTGCCCCGATGCATGGGCAGCTCCATTAGGCAGTCGAAGGGCCGCAACAGACGCTTGCAACACTGTGGAAATTTCTCATTTGTCATTTGAAGCAATGCACAAAGCATACACAGCACAGCAGATCTATTCTATTCGCTAACTGAAAACAAACTCAATCTGAACAGCAAATTTGTACTATACGACGGGGATTATCAGTCTATGCGGAAAATAGACAAAAACAAAAAATACCTAACTATCGCTGTCTTTGACATTGTGGCTTGAACATATCTTATCATTCAGATAATATAACATGTCGTACATGTATGTACGTATTTATTTACGCATGTAAGTTGGCTCATAGTTGAATAAATGATTTCAGTGTAATGCCCTACGTGTAGTATTTCAGTTCATTTAAAAGAACTTTGAATTTATGATTTAAAGAGAGCTGATTACAAAATGGACTACCTCAAAAGTTATTAAGTTCTGAGTAAAAGCAGAGAAATTTACCATACTTTCGATTTATGATTGAATGACACTCGCTTAAAGAAGATAAAAGAGCTGGCAAGTATTTAAAATATCAATCAAACCTAGTAAACAATGTTTCAGCACTGTATTTTATGCTCAAATGACACTTGCTTAAGTTTATAGCTCTACTTCATATCATAATGACACTTGCTTAGACTATAAATTTGTATGCCTAAATGACACTTGGTTTATAGATGCCAGACTGTTGCTAAACAGCTTTAAGCAATAAACTTAAACAAAAACAACACAAACAGATTTTTAGAACTAAATCAAATTGAACTTGGAATTTTCATTTATTTTTAATATTTCTTACACTTAGCAGCTGCTGAAGGCAGAAAAACATTTTGTTTTTCGCACTTAATTAAAATGTATACATTTGAATGGGAAACTTTGTTCTCTCTCTATACTCTGAATTTACCTAACTTAATTATTGATATAAAAAACATATCACAAATTTGATTACACATTTGAATTTAGCGCGTCTTTTATATGAAAATAAGTATTTATAAATATTTTCAGTTGAATAAACGCGCGAGTTACAAAATTTTGTATTCTATTCAAAATATTTTAAAATGTATGATAATATATGTATTTATCCACATTTAAAGATCAGCAATACATTTAAAAAAAAGTTTAATTTAACTACTATAATAAAAATAGGCACAGTTTTTTATTTGAATTAAATCCCTCACAATTTGTTAGCCGAAATAAATTTTATTTAAATACAATTCTGTTATTATATCACTACTGATTGATCAATTCGTTTAATTTGTATATTGATTAACGTGAAAAGTTCATAAAGCAATGACCTGTTAGCTGGCTTTTAGCATTAATCAATATACAAATTTAACGAATTTATCAAATGATACTGTATAAACTTTTAGCTGGCTTTTAGCATTAATCAAATTGATATGCATGATTTATTTAAAGCCAGTGTCATTTACGCATTTAGGCAAGGCGCATTGTTCACTTAAGCTGATGCCATTCGAGCACTTAAGTTAATTTGCGTCAAATAACATAATTTGCATCGAAAATTCGTTTAGCCACACAGCAAACTGCAATTTCTACTACAACTGCGTCTAGACTTTTTACCTGTTTTAGCTGCTTAGCTGTGTACCTGTGCTTATCGCTTGGTATGTGCTCTTGCTAGAGTTATTTTTAAACACTATCAATCACGATTTTGTATTTTGTTTGCTTGCAGATTAAACATAACAGATTAATGCAAAGAAATTCACGGTTTTCACGGTTGAGAGAATTTTCAATTTCTGTTCTTAAAGTTTGTTTTTCTCTATTGAGATGCAAGTTCGCTCGTTATCTAACACTGGTCATCAGCAATTGTCTCGAGCAAAAAGGCAAACAGCATGTGATTAAACATGACAAATGCGAATTACGAATTGCAAATTGTTTCTATACACTTGAGCAGACATCAAAGTCATTTTTAATAGTTTTTTTTCTCGTCGCTTTTGGTTTTACACTTTTTTACACTTCACGTCTTCAAGCTTGAATAAATCATTGAGCGAGCCAAGAACTTTATTTTGCAATTAAGCGTTTGCTTGTTTTTTTTTACAGCGTTTATCAATCAAATCTTATTTTCGGCATTTATTTTCCATATACTACATGTATGTATATAAGAACTTGTTAATTGATTGCCTGAGCACCGACAAAATTGAGCCTACAGCTATCTGCTGTCAGCTGTCGGCTCTCTCTGCATATACGTTTATCAGAAATTTACCTAATTTTCCCGCCAGCTGACTTAGGATGTCTCTCGCACGATTCGCGACGATCTTAACTGACTTAACTTGAGTTTGCGACTGCGTCGTTGGCTTTACTCTGCCTTACACTTTTTTTTTTTTTTGCAGTTTGTCGTATCATATATATGTACGTATATATGTGAGGGGTATTATATAGTCTTGTTTGTTTTTTTGTTTAAAAAAAAGCCTGACATTCGTTTTTTTGCGGCTTTTGATTTGATAACAACGCGCGATAAATAAATAATCGCAAAAAAAAAAAAATTAATAATAATAATAATAGAGAGAAAAACAAACAAGAAAAAAAAACTTGAAGAAATAAGAAAGACGCAACGCAATGAAAAATTTCACAGATAAGTGTCAAGATTTTAAGGTTATATCACAATCGCCTTATAATTGGACCGAGACGTTCAAGCGCAACAATTTTGGATATATATTTAGGTCGGATTTTTCATTTAGTTTTATATAAATTTAGTTTGAATTTTGCAGGGGTTTTTAGTTTGGTGTGTGCGTTGTGGCGAGTATCCAAAGTGGAACTGGACTTTAGTTAGTTTAGTCACAGGTTAAAATAATACAGGCCGATAACAAAGAATAAAAGCAGAGAGAAAGAGAGAGAGAGAGAGAGAGAGAGAGAATGACAGAGCTAGGGAGACAAATAGGGTTAAAGAGGCGTGAGCCGTGAGAGACAGCTGAATAACTTGTGTCATTTGACCAATTAGCTCTTTGTCATTTATGCAAATCGTGAACGGCAAAGCCAAACGGCTCAAATCAAAGAAAATCGATGGTAAAACTTGGAAAAACAGCTCGACAATGACAAAATGAAAATGAATTACGACCAAAGCCCGTTTCACGTGCTTTCGCGTCTGTCTGTTTGTTTCTCTCTGTCTCTCTCTCTGGCGGACCCAATTAATTGGCATTCATCAAATTAATTATGAATGCAGCGATAAGATAAACTCAAATTGCGCTCGCTTATAGAGCCGATAAGATTCAATGTGAATTAAAGTCTGAACGAACGTTGGTGTTACTATTGCGAAACGAGCCAAAGCGTAGACGAAAACAATGTGTGAATGGCATTAGGCTCTAAAGATATATAGAGATAGAGAAGAAGAGGCAGACTGTCATGTCAGTCTTATCAAATCTGTACAAATCTGGTTCGATAAATATCGATTGCTTAAACAACTTTTGATAAAGTTCTTTCTCATTACGGCTTACATTCAATATATTCTGTAGATTCTTCTCAATGCATATTTACATATCTTTGGATTCCTCTTAATCTCAATTATTATCGATAGTTTCAAGGTAGTTCCTTCGCATTTCTGTGATGTCCCTTTAAAGGCAATACGAGAAAATTAAGTAATATTTGTATATACTTATACTCAAATAGATTTCGATCTAAGTTCGTAAAAACGAAATAAAAAATTCCCAAATGATATACCCCATAGCAATACAGTTAATTTGGCCAGCGCCAACTCTCCAAGAGAATAAAAACTTCTCATAATACTCTAAGTTTATTCTTTGAGCAAAAAGAACATCATAATGATATTACACGAACTGTTAGGCAGCTATACAAACATACTTATAAACATTATATATATATATGTATATATATACCGCTTAACGATGTTGTTCAGCTCTCAGTGCGCCTGACATGGCAATAAAATACATTTTGAAGATGAGTAATGAAAAGAGTTTTATCACTTTTTTAGTTTGTTTTGTTTTTTCTTCAGTTCATTGTGTGTCGAGTGGGAACATTTGTGTCTCTCCCTCTCTCTCTCCATATATATATTCCCTTCCCAGATGCGACTGCACCTGCGAATAATTTATTTTTGTCATTGAGGTCGACAAATTTTGCAAATTGCAAATCTGAAGTTTGTCGCACTTTTGTCAGCTTCGCAGCGCACCCAAAGCACATTACAATGAGAAATCAAAATGCAAATCAAATCAACAATTGGCAAACGGCAGCTGCACTTGAGAGCATCCATCTACCGTATGCCAAATGTCTGCCAAGCCAAGCCCATCATCAACCACATCCGTCCGACAGCCTCCTCAATTTTTTTTCCTAATGTCGTATATCTAGTGCCGTGGGCCATCGTAAAATTGTTAATTAGCTTCGTTCGCATGTGTCAAATATTTGACAAAATAATTGCGAAATTTACATTCAGAAAATAATAGACATTCATTATTCATTTCGATAAATCAAAAGACCAGTACCAAGAAAAAAATAAAGATTATATAAGAGCTTGAGCAGCATCATGAAATCAAGTTTATCCCGGAACTTATATAACCAGAAAATATAAATTATTTATTCTAGAAAATATTTCATAAAACATAAGAATCATAAATTTTATATCTTAAATAGTAATATATAGCTATCGAAGAACCTTTGAATAGAAAAGATAAGGGACTTTTTTTTAGCTGACTTTAGAAGATATGTAACTTCGAATCTAGAGTTGTAATCCATCAAATTAAACCAAGAGGTGATTTAAGATCTATGGAAAGAGAGAGAGAGAGAGAGAGACATATCGAGAGAGTTATAGTAAGAGACAAAGAGACCGAGATGAAAAGAGAGTAGGAGAGTGAGAGAGAGAGAGTGAATTCCAGCCGCATAGACATAGAGAGATCCAGAAAAGACATTCGTAATCAGCTTACATTGAATACCTTACTCGAACCACTTGAAATTCAAGTTATTTGCGCCTTAAGTCAAATGTAAATTTGTGTCTTACATGATTCATTATGGGACTCACCTTAATCTATCGCGCAGCTCTTGATATGTGGGCTGATCGCGCTGCAGCAGCTGCAGAATCCGTTGGCATTGCTGCAGACGCTGACGCCGCTTCAGTGCCTGATGATCCACGTCGAGAACGGCGATGCCGCTGTCGACGCTGTTGTTCAGCTGCTGAGCGGGACTGTCCACAGGTGTTGTTGTTGTAGGTGTTGTAGGTGAAGATGTTGTAGGTGAAGGTGTTGCTGCTGTAGGTGAAGGTGTTGCTGCTGTAGATGAAGGTGTTGCTGTTGCTGTTGCTGTTGATGTTGTTGTAGGTGTTATAGGGGCGGTGGCTGTTGTTGCTGTTGTTGCTGTTGTTGTTGGTTCTGTTTCTGTTGGTTTTGTTTCTGTTGATGTTGTTGTAGTTGTTATAGGGGTTGTTGCTGCTGCTGGTGCTGTTGTTGCTGTTGCTGTTGTTGCTGTTGCTGCTGCTGTTGCTGCTGTTGCTGCTGTTGCTGCTGTTG